ACAACCAAATAATGTCGAGTCATAGTCGTAAGTAATGGTCAATGAAAATCCTAACGGAAGAACGAAACATTTTTGTCGTATTCCCAATATACTAAAAGTGGAGTTCAGTTAAAGTGTACCTAATATTAATTAGTAATTTAAATCGAATTCACATGATTATTAACCCCTTATATAGCCACATTTCTGTATTACACTATATTCTAAATCACCGTTTAACATTTATTTCACTTTTATGGTTTAAAAATTTACAAGAATAATTGATCATAGCCGCCATTTTTAAGGAATTTCACGTGATCGAAGAAGTATTTTATATTTAAATTTCAATAAATTCTTCCCCGATGATGTCACATTACTCGTTTATTCTATACAGCAAACTTTGCATGCTGAACACAATAACGTTTAAAATTAAGACAACAAAAATTAAGATCGAAAATAACAATTTGATGGCAAAATTTAAAAATTTTACGAATTTAATTGAAAAAACATTGAAAAGACATCTAACAAGAAATTGTCAAAATTGTTGTCGCTTCTCTTATTGACTTCTTCTATTCATTTGCTATTATAGATTTGCCATTTGAAAAGCAAAAGTATTCAAAATATTAGACAACTTCTCTTCTTATCCAAAAAAATATATACCCTATAATCGGCCAGGTCAACTAAAAAATTTAATCTTACTTTATTGTTTAGTTTAAAAAACAATGCAACAAAAAACAGAATATAAAAATCATCAAAAACATTTAAATGAACATACCATTGGTCTCCCCCATATATTATCCTCCATACCCCATCTATGCCATACAACAAAACACATTGAAAACAAATATAATGATGTGGTCATAATATAAAAGTATGCGGCTAAAAATGGTAACATGCTGGTCAGAATGACGTTTTTTAACTCCTTTTGTTTTTTTTCTTCTTTTTCTGCTTTCCACAACTTTTGTTTTATATTTTATTTTGTGTAAAGAATCCTCACCAAATTTGGTATGTCTACAGTCCAAATCTTTTGTTATATTGTTTTATTTTAAAGATTTATTCTATATGTGTATATTTATAGTTATTTATTGGTGCTGTTATATTTAGAAAAATAACAACAATCCAGTACAAAAAAATAAAAAAAAAATGAAGGAAAAAATTTTACAATCTGTTGCAAGGAAAAACCTTTTCCTTATTATTGTTTCTTTTTTTTTAGTTTTTTTCATCTCTCTGATTCCTTAACTAAATCAAAATAGAGAGTTTCGTTAGAAAATTCTCAGTGAATTTTCATTGTTATGCAGAATGAAAAAGAAACATGATATGAGGAAATATAGAATTTATTTTGAAATTTTTGGAAAATTCTTAAAATATTTTTTCAGCGTATTGTAATATGAAAAACTGTAGTGTAAAATAGTGAAACTATATAGAAATGAAAAAAAAATAAATTAACTTAATATTGAAAATATTGCGTTGATATTGTATAAGAGCTACATAAGGGTGAACCAACTCAAATTCAATAAATTCAAGATTTCCTTCTAATATCTAAAATGCATTTTTCTTTACTTATTTTAATCAATTCTAATTTTAAATTCAAAATTTAATCCGAATTTCTATAAGTTGTACAGGCTAACCCCAAATTAAATTACGTAAATTTTTGTAACTAATAATTATTATCACTACACTAATCATGTGATAAATATTATGCCGGATGACAATATAAATTTATGTATATTGACTTCCTTATACGAACTAAGTGAGTAAAGTAATTTTTGAGCACACGAACTAAACGATCAATGAGCTATTTTAAGCACATAAAAAGCTTTGCATTTTATTTAACATTCTCCAATCAGTTAAATTAAATTACATTCCGTCTTCATTCCTAGCATAAAGCTAATCAAAATGAAATTGTAACAGGGTGTAAGTTGTTTCAATGAAATTGGAATAGAATTGAGCTACATATGGAAATAACTAGATTTTACAAAAAGGCTTACAACTAATTTTTAAATTAGTGCAAAATATAAAATTAATAAATTTTTTTTAAATTGTTTATAGAAAATAAATTTTTGCTACGCACAACATCCCTCCGACGGATACTGAATTTTTTAACAGATACCCAAAATTATATACTTTATAATCATATCATACAAAACAAAAAACAAAAAATAAAAGATCGCAGACATACTGAACAGATTTGGAGATTTCCGTTTTTCCCTCTTTTTCTTGTTTTCTTTTTTTTATTTGCCTGTTTTTACGATAAAACATGTATTTAATGGGTTTTTGTTATCTAATAATAATGGAAAATGATGAGTGAATACTTTAAAAGGTTCCCCAAACCTTTAATTTCCTGTTATTATAAAAAATATGTATGTGTAAGCACATATACGTGTACACATTTTTTTTTTGTATTCCCGTATTTTCTCATATTGCTTTACCTTGTCCATGCTAACAAGGCAGGCTCCTTTTATATAAAAATATAAAATGAAGAAAATCTTAAAGATAGTTGTACAAAATACATGAGTATTTATGGTATGGTATGGTATGAAATTTAAGTTATGTACATACATACATACCTGCGTATACAAAATATGATTGTTTTTGTACTATTATGGTGTTTATTAAATTCAAGTATCAAAAAATAATAAAATAACTTAAAATGATGTTAAGAATTTGTTTGAATAGTCTGAGAATTATGATGAAAAGTTTTTTCAATATTTTGTATGTAATAATGTTGTTGTTGTTATTTTTTTGTTTACATATTGAAGGTATATGTTGTTTCTTTCCAAATTATGAAGACAACAATATGGTATCTATAACGTACGCTTTTATAAATTCTTTCATCTTTTGGGTTTTGTTATTTAAATTATTGATTTTACATGTCGATATTATTATTTCTGTAATACACACGCACGTTAAAATATCGTAGCAAAATTTTATATATTAAATATGTTAACGCAAGGTGGAATATGAAATTAATGTAAGAGTTTAGGTAAATTTTTTATAAAAAAAAAAACACATGTCTATCTTCTAAGTTTAATATTTGAATTTTAAAAAATTATCCTCTGGAAAAATTATTAAAGTGGGTTATTGTAACATGAATAAATTTAAAACTTTAAACATACAAAAAATGAGTCATCTCCGGGGCATGATATTTGAATTAAACTTTATTAGATATGGGGTAACAATTAGACCAGGTTCTGAGTTTTTCGACGCCTTACGCGGTTTCCAAAGAGCACGCAGTCCCGCTTTCAAAGCAATTAACGATATGCAATAAGCAATGCACATTGCGTATAGTAATTGCGCCATTGTTTTCTGGCGCTCGTTGCATATGCTTACTTTACATATATGGTAGATCCGACGCTGGTAACAATGCACCGCGACGCAAAAATCAAGACCTTTTCCATATATTTTCAAATAATTAGGAATTTTTTCACAAGTTTTTTCCTTTTTGTTATATACATATATATGAATTTAATGTGAAATATGTAAAAATATTATCTTAATGAAAATTCGATATTTTAGATTTAGTAATTTCAAGCACATTTACTTGTTTCCCAATGTCTTAATTCATAAATCTATCTGAATAATCATACTAATAAAATAAATCTTATTAAAATTTTTTTAATTATTAGATTATAACAAAATTTATAAAACTTGAATTGTTCTTGTTAAACTTAACATGAAAAGTATATTATTCCAATTTTTTATCAATTTCCTTTAATTTGAATCAAATAATTAAGCCATACAATTTTAAATCAAACGAGAAAAAATAGAGTTGACCCTGCCAACTCTGTGATACCCGTACGAATTTGTCCTATGTGCGAATAAAGATGCCATAACTGACTATGGGACAAACTATGATTTTAAGTGGCCGTATTACCATATTAATTTCTGCAAAATTTCAGTACTATGTTTTTCAAAATACTTTGTGTGCCAAACTACTATTGTAGTTGTATGGCAGCTACTTAAAAGAGCCAAGCAATTTTATCGAATTATATCAAACACATCGGCCCTACTAATGTATTCGCTTGCGTGAAACTTCAGTACCACAGCTTTTATAGTTTCTGAGATGTAGCCAAATAAATTTTGAAATTGTATGGCAGCTGCACGAACCGTACCCCAATCATGTCCAATTCAAATAGGGTACTGGCACTTACTATGATAAATCACTTGTGAAAATTTGGTGAACTTAGCTCAATTAGTTTTTGAGTTATCGTTGGTACAAACGGACGGACAGACAAAGCTAAATCAACTCATAATTCGACGTTGATCAAAACATACACTTGAGTCTATATCTCAGAGCATTATTTCTTAGCGTTACAAACGGCAAGGAAAATTTAGTATACCCTTCGAACATACGTTCGTGCGGGTATAAATATATGCTTGTAATCAAATCCAAACCTCGAAAATCAAATAATAACATTAAAAATTAACTAAATAAAGGCGAGTAAGGTAAATTGAAGCATTTTTTCCCTGATTAAGGTGAAATGGCCTGTCGGAAAACCTTACAAATAGTTTCAGAAAAAATATAACACCAAAGTTTGATATATTGACAACTTTGAGAGGCGATTCCTTGAAAAATTAAGGAAGTAAAAGTAATTTTGTTAAACAAATAAATTATTTATTATTTTACATCTTATAATCTTAAATCTTATCAGCTTCTTACACTATAAGAAGTTTTACATCTTATAGTCCAAAAAACTAGTTCAAAGTAACCATTATTTTAATAGAAAACCAATGCGATTATGTAGGAAAAGATGGAATTCGTTATTTTTTCCGTTCACTGAATTTAGAAAATTCCTCTGGTTTCGACCCAATAATTTAACAAATGGCATTTAAAGCACTTTGAAGATCGAAATATAAGAAAATAATGTTTTTCTAAAATCTAGAGAAATGGATTTTTAAAAAATTTCAACTTTCTATCTCAAAGGGAGTAAAAGTTTTAGAAATAACAAATATGATAATTTTTTTTTAAATTAAAATTAAATTAAATTAAAATTTTTTCAATTTATTTTTTTTTCCCATTACAGGTGTGGTTCCAAAATCGTAGAACAAAATGGCGAAAAAAACATGCTGCTGAAATGGCAACAGCTAAAAGAAAACAAGAAGAACTTGGCGATAATGATGGTGATTGTAGTGAACCAATAGATAGTGATTCAGAAAGTTTAGATTTAGGCGATCCGGGCCGAAAACGTTGCAGACTAGAAGATGATTTTCGGCAATAAATTTAATATTATTTAATAAAATATAAAATATAAAGTTTCTGTAAAATAAAAAATTAAACAATTGAAAATTTACAAAAAACTCAACAAAAAAAAATAAAAATAATGTTTTTAATAAAAAAAAAAGAAAGCAAATAAAATAAAATAATAATTAGTAAAACTTAAATTTAAAAAAAGGAAAAATTAAAAAATAAAAAAAAATTATGTATTTTAAGAAAATAAAATTTAATTTTAGCCTTAATGTAAAATTTTTTAATTGTAATTTTAAATTTAATTATTTTTGTTTTTGTTAATTTAAAGACCACATACTTCAGATATAATTAAATTTAAAATAAAATGAGGGGATTAACTTGGTAATTCGATTTTCGTATTTGCATAATTATGGAAAGATAGTACCCTATAAATTGATAGGTGCTACCTTGTCATATTTCCGAATACGAAAATCGTTTCACAAAAATCTAATTACATAGTAAGGCTCCTGGTCACTAAAAATATTGTGAAAATTATTCGATATTTGTTTCTAAATAGTGGTTCGAAAAATTTGGCTATCTAGGGAAAACTTGTTCGAAAAACAAAATTTATTTGCCTTATAGTAAGTTTGAGAATTTTAATTTCTAATATTTCTAAATGTTTTTACTAAAAAACAGAGTATTCCGTATGAAAATTTTATTGTTGATATAATTATTCTTTATGGATTCAATCTCATTTATTTCGCAGACTAAAAAAACTAACCTTAAAAGTTAAATTATCTTATTGACAAAATTAAAGAGCAACAGTCAGGTTTCCTTGAATCCCGGAAAATTTTGGAGAGCTACCATATTATGTGACCGAAAAAAACATTGTTATATAAAAAAAAAAACCTACGAAAAATTTTTAAAAATTCATTTTCTAAACGACTGAGGTAACTAAACTAAAAGTTCTGTAAAGTTTGTTTTATGTCTATTAAATGGCCTATTACATGGCCAATTTTAGTGATATATAAAAGTACCATTATATTTAGCACAGATGTAAAAAATTTTTGCCTTTAATAATTAGTACCTCCTAAACCGGTTGCGGTAGAGACCTATTGTAGAACAATTTTTTTTCTTATACCAACGAAAATCTGCATATTGGTACGTATAAAGCAATGCCCAACTATACATTTCAATTTCATTACAGTTGTTTATAGAATTTTTAGTGTATTACTGTTGGGTCCGTACACATATTGTATCTGCAGTCTGCATTAAATTTATACATATAAAACTGTACATAACAAAATAGTAACAATATTGAACAACTACTGAAAATTTGAAAATATTTTTTATTTAATATTTTTATTTTAAATCCTTGCAGTATAGGCAACCACTTGCTATTTTCCACCACTTTTCAAATAGAATCAAATTGCAAAAAATCAACCACTTTTCAATCAAATTAATGAGCCACTTTAGAATCAAAATAAGGAGCCACTATTTAGGAAATAAATCCGAATATACCGAACTTCAAATTCATTCTACATTCAAGTTCTATTCTACATTCTACATTCATTCTACATTAAAAATTTATTTTAATTAAATAAATTAATTAATTTACAGATCGCCATATAAAAAAAAAACAAAAATTTTTACAGTGCAAAACAAAATTTTTACTCTATGCAGGCTTATTTGTTTTTAAAATTGTTTTTTTTTTAGGTAAAAGAACGTGAATGTAGCTCTTAGCCTCCATAACAAAAATAATAAAACAAAAATCTGAGAATTGAAAACTAATTTATATTTAAATTTAATTAGGTCTTAAATTAAAAACAATTTTACAATATTATGTATTAAATATTAAATAAATATAATTAATATAATTAAAAAGAAAAAAGAATATATGCTTAAGAAATCTTAATACTATTATTATAAATATAATAATTATTAAAATGAAATATTGATTTTAGCTTATAGTATAACTAATTAACTAATTAATTAAATTTAAAATTTTATTATTAAAATATTATATAATAAATGAAAACAAAAAAACAATGTAAATATTATATAAAATATAAAAACAACAAAAAAAAATTTATTATTAGATATATTTGAAATAAAAATTAAAAATTCTATTGTTTATACGACTTTTGTTTTTATTTAATTTTAAAAGCAGCCTTGAAACGACCAGTTTCCAAAAGTAAATTTAACAAAATATAAAATCAAATCAAAATGTTATACACAACTAAAAATGCTGTTGAAACGACCATAGACCGTAAGTTTCAACAATAACGTACAAAAGTGCAGGTTTTGAACATAATAAAATCACTTCAAAATTTTATCGAAACCTGGTTTTATGTCGTTTATATTTAATATAACAGTTATGTTTGTTATTATTACACATACAATAACACATTTTATAAAAAGAACAAAAAAAATATAAATTTTTGTCCTTATATTTTTAAGTTTAAGAAGTTTTTACCCGACTTGCTACAACATTTTCTAAAACAAAAATCAAATATATAATATTATGCAGATGAAAAAAAAAATTTTCTGCAATATAAATTTGAATAACTAATATTGCACCCTTATATAATATTTAACACTGATATATTGCATCCATATTGTTATACAAAACTACCTCCAAATTTTAAATCCCAAATAATTTCTAAAACTTAAAAATGAATGATTTATGGAAATTGTGGGAGAACTACACCTCATTTTTCAATGAAACTACTTAATTGGAACTTCAGTTTTCGATAAGAATATTTGATAATAAAGTTCTTTTTGTCTGAAAGTTCAGGAGTCTGAAATTTTAGCAGTTTTTAAAAACTTAAAAAATACTGTTAAAAATAGTGTTAATGAAAATTTTTTCCCGATCCGTCTCACTTAAATTATCGCCTAACGAAATTTGAAAAATTCAAATTTTTGGCACCTTATATTTCCGAAATTGTAAATTTCTCCAAATTTTTATAAATGCAGAACGCTAAAGATGGATGACATGCCAATAAAAAATATCATTATTTTTTTAAATTCATCCAATTAACTTTGTCCAAATTTCTAAATTCTTCCATAATAATAATATTGCAACCAATCAAAGCAATGATTCAACTTTTGCAAATTTAAAATCTGAAATAATACCGGACTATGAGTAAAAGGCAAATAAAAATTTTAAAATAAATTTTCGGTCGAACGAATAGACCGAAATCTTTACACATATTTTTTATAAAATGTATTAAAAATATTCAAAAAATTAGCTTGATTGATGGTAGTTAGTGGAAATTACAGAAATATTCCGATCATACTAATAAAAGTTGTTAAAATTTTTTCCATCCACATTATGTATACTTTATTTATTAAAATTGTATCTAAATAAAATGATGTTAAAGGAAAGCTTAGTATAGAATTTCACAACCACATTTTGTTATTAATTTCATTGAAATTTGCTGCAGTTAAAAAATTCTACAAGTTAAATAACATATTTTTAAATTATATGGAAACATTTTTGTGTTTCGTATGAATTTAAAATTGAGATATTCAATTCTCAGTAAGGTAATTATCTTGAATTTTTAGTTCCCGGTGAAGTTGAAGTTGAGTTTCAAGATGTTCTATGTATGTTCTTTATTTAGATGGGCCACTTTTGATAAAATTTGAACCAGAAAATCACACTCTAGTGAAAAACTTGAAAATTTTTGGTTTGCTTAACTGTTTTTTATTTTCTTTAAAATTTGCCCTCATTCAAAGTTTTTATAGCCTTCATTAATTGCATAATTCTGGATAAAATTAAAATTTATTCGTTCAGTTTAATTCTCTCTTCTTTCAAATGAAAATTATTTTAATTCACATATCTTGAATTCTTCAAAACTGTTATCGCGTAACTCTCTGTCCAAACTCGTGATTCGCAGTAATCAATTCACCTCCATTCTATTGAAATAAATTTTGTTTCTTCTTATTTATTTAATATTTTCCTTTCCAATAAAATTTTCTTAAAATTCATGTTTTTCTATTAAAAATGTAAATATTAATAGAGATATGGATTTGAACAAAGGTCTCTAGATATCATAAAATTTTTTTCTTCCATATAAATTTTATTATTTTACAAAAAAAAAGCTTCAAAATACAAAAAAAAAATTTAAAATTGTAAAATCTGCAGGCTTCGAACTCAATCATATTATTTACGTATAAAAACAAAAAATGTTAAATTTTGACGGATCAAGGCCTAAATCCGGTCTACAAAATTGACCAGCTTCTAGCCACAGCTTGTGCGGTCATACTGCAATCCTAAAAACTTAAGTATAGAAATTGTTTTGAAAACTTTTAACTTAATCTAATAACACATTCACACAACAACTAACAAACTCAACAACATTCACACAAAATATATAGGAACAAATTCTTAATATAAACCACCAAATTATAGTATACATATATTTTTCAAAAAAATTTTTATTTTTTTAAATATTCATGAGGATAAAATTTTTCTTTTTTCATTTTCAATTCAAAATGAAAATATTATTAAAATTTTTTTTAAAAAAAAAAGGTAAAATTTGGATTCGAACCCAAGGTAAATTTTTTTTTTCATATTTCATGAAAATGAAAAATTGCTGTCAATTTCGTCTTTCAATCTGAGTATCATTATGAATAGAATAATATTATAGAAAGAACTACAATTAAATTAATATTAAAATGGATGGAAATAAATTAATTATTGTGAGGAAATTTTTAAGAAAATACATTCAATGAAAACCATCATATGCAGAGCTATGAAAGCAGATCAAAATCTTAACTGAATATCGAAACATTTTAATGAATCTTTTAAATGTAAAATAAAACGCACGTATTTACACGAATTCATTTGGGTTTCATTTTAAGTTCAGATAGATGATTTTAACTTACATATTTAAAAACATAGTTTTGCATAACGTAAACTCAATTTAGCACAAGTTGGCAACTGAGAAGGAGGCAAAACTTCCATAGAAGTTGAAATATAGTTGAAGCACAATGTTGAAAATGTTCAAACAGCTGCGAACAAATAAATAATTTTGAAAAATTGGTGAACCTTATATTGTGGCCACGTCTAATTATATATGTACATATGAATGTATAAAAAGATTTTCTT